GGCTCTTGCTTCCTCTCCCCAAAACCCTACTTCAAAAGCCATCGCCCCTCCCCCTCAGGGCTTCCCCCGGCCGCCACACCCCGCCCTCGAGCCCCCTTCCCAGCTCCCCCCCCCCCCGGCTCCCCCCCCCCCCCCCCCCCCGGTCTCTCTGGCAGCCTTTCTTCTGCCCCTCCCTTCTCCGGCTCCCTCTGCCTTCCGCCCTCTCTCCCCGCCGAATCCGGCCGGCTCCCCAGCCCCGCCCCTGCCCCGCCCCTCCGGCTCCTCCCCCCCCCGCTCACAGCCGGGCCAGCCCCTCCCGGCCCCCTCCGGTAGGCCCTCCCCAGCCACCGCCCCCCTGACCCGCAGCTCCGGGCAGTCTCGGCGACAGAGCTCCCCTCCTCCTCCCCCGGCTCAGGGCCGCCTTTCCCTTCCCTCCCGGTTCTCCCCCAGGCTCCATCCCCCTCCCCGGCTGCACACCCTCTCCCTTCCTTTCCCCCTCCTCTTTTCCTTCCTCCCTAACGCCGCCCTCCTCCTCCCCGCTTTTCTCCCTCACCCCGCCCTCCCCTCCCCTCTCCCTCTCCTCCCCCCCCCCTGGTTCCCCCTCCTCCCCCTTCCCCCTCTTCCCCTCAGTTCCCTCCCTCCCTCCCCCCTCCCCAGCCCTCCTCCCCTCTCCCCACACCATCCTCCTCCCTCTCTCCCCGCCTCCCTCCTGCAGCTTGCCTTCCCCTCCGAGGCCCCCGTCTCCCTTCCCCCTTTGCCTCCCCAGCAGGCTCTCGCTTCCCTACCCTCCCGGTCCCCAGTCCCTAGAACCGCTCTTCCCCTCCCCCTTCCAGTGCGCTCCCCGAGCTCCCTCCCTTGTCCCCAGGCTCCCCCAAGCCTGGGAGTCTGTGGCTCACGGCTCGCTCTGGACCTTCTCACTGACCCTGCTCCTCCCCACCCCTGCCTCCCAACACACCTCCGCTTCCCTCCCCTCTCTCTCAGTGGCTACCTTCCCCATTTCTGTTCCCCACTGACTTCTACCCCCCCCAAGTTTTCCTCCCGACCAGACCCCTCCCGTCCCACCTCCCCGCCTCCGTTTGTCCCCGAGAGCCTCTTCGCCCAGACCTCACTCCAGGGCCCAGCCCCTCCCCGGCTCCCGGGCTCACCTGTCAGCGCCCTTCTCTCCCGCCCCTCCCCAAAAGGCCAGATCCCTTGGCCTCGTTGTCCCCCCTTCCCCCACGGCCCCCTCCCACCCTCCCTCTACCCTGTCCGGAGACTCCTCACTCCCTCCCCTCGGGAGCCTCCCAACCCTCTCCCACCGGACTCCCACCCGGCCCCCTCTCCCCAGCCTCCGCCCCTCCCTCCAGATCCCCGGTCCTCCTCCTCTTCACGACTACCGTGCCCACCCCCAAGCCAGGCCCTCTCTCCCCAGCCCCAGCCCCTCCCTCCTCCAGCCCCTGCCCCTCCCCTGCCCTTTCTTGCCCCCCCCAACCCCACCTCACCCCCTCCGGCGCTCCCAGCGCCCCCACCCCCGGGGCTGTCACCTGCGCGGAGCGGGCAGTGACTGAGTGTCGGTGTAGAAGGGGAAGCGGGCGGAGCCGCCTGCCGCTGGGCGCCTCCACGGCCCGTACCTGGCGGGCTGGCCGGTCGGGTCTCCCCGCTGCTGGCGGGACCCAGGCGCCCCGGCCTTCTGCCCCGGCCGGTTCTGCTCGCAATGGCGCCCGCTGCCTGTAGCTCGGGTGCCGACTGCCCGAAAGACTGACAGACTGACAGCCCCGAAACTTCGCGGGGAGGGGAGAGGAAAAGACGCGGAGGGAGCGGGAGCGGGGAAGCGGCGCCCGGCAGGGGGGAGGGGAGCGCGGAAGCAGGAGGGGAGCTGCGGGGCACCCCGTGGGGGAGGTAGGGGCAGGGGGGTGCTGGAGTGGGGTCGCAGGAGGGCGCACGGCGGGGTTAGGCGTGCAGGTGACGATGTGGAGGGACGGAGGCCCAGAGTAGGTGATGGAAAGTGGGAGCCTAGGAACGAGGTGGGGGGAGGGAAGAGGGGGAAGGGAAGGGAGGAGTGTGGGGGGAGGGGTGGAGGAGGGAGAGGAGGCAGGGAGGAAGGGCACGCGGGCTGCGCGGGAGGGTGCTCGCAGGCGCCGAGGGAGGAGCCAGGGGAAAGGTGGAGCGCGAGGGGAGGGGGTGCGGTGGGGAGTTGGGGAGGGGAAGAGGAGGGGGCGTGCTCGGAGGAGGAGAGCCAGTGAGTGTCTGCGCTGCTGTCTTTGAATCGCGAGTCTCCCCCCCGCCCCCCCCGGAGCGTATCTGTGCGGCGCTTCGTCGCGGTGGGATCGAGTCTCCCGACAGTCGGTCTGTGGGGTCGATCTGGGAAACTCCGACCCCGCCCCTCCTCTCTACCCCGATTCCACCCGGATCCGCTCAGACCCACAACCGCCGGCAGATTCCGGAGGACCCGAAGCGACACCCGCGGCGGGAGTCGGGTCACTTGGGGCAGCGAGGGGTGGTCGAAGGAGACCGAGCTGGGCCTCAGTGCCCGCCGAGAATGGGCCCTTTGAAACAGAAATTGGGGTGGGGGCTTTGAGCCGGGTCCCCAGGGAGAAGGCGGGGCTGGAGAGGAGGCACTAGGGGGTGAGGCTGGAGACGGGCTGGGCGGAGACTCAGAGGGCGGGGTCCCGGGGAGGGGGCTGCTGGGAGGGGAGACTTCTCTGGGCGGGGTGGGGGCTGGTCCTCCTACTGGCCTGGAAACCTGTACCGGTTAGGTGTGGAGGGATGCCCGCAGCCCTTAGATCCGGTTTCGGGGGGGACTTGGGGTCCCCGCCCGGATTATGATGGTTTTCTTCGGCCTTGCCACCCAGGCACCTGACTCTGTCTGAAAGCTCCCTATATCCTGTTCTTGTCCCGCTGAGTGGGCTGGTTATTCCAGGCCCCCTCTCCCATCTCTCTTTCTCCAATCTCCCCTGGCTTCCGGCTTCCTCCCTCCTGCCCTCTTTAGGGGAGAGGGGCATTGTGACTTGGGTTTCTCCCCAATCCAGGCGTTGCCTTATCACCTGCGGTTAGAATCCAGAGCGGGGAGTGAGTCCTCCAAAGAGAAGCACAGCTCTCAGCAGGGGCACCATCAATATTCCTTGCCGTTTAGGAGAGACATGGTAGCGGGTGGTACTCGGGAGAGCACTAGGTACCTCGGAATCAGCTGGGAAAGGCTCTTCAACCTCCTGGATGGGCTCCTTCAGCTAGTCAGCGCCCAGTGGGCTCATGGCCCCGGGAATAGAGTGTCTCTTTGTGCTAGGGTGGGGCAGGAGCACTTGTGAGACCTGCAGCAGGGGTGTGAGCCTGTGAAGCAACAGGGGGAGAGTGGATGGGGTACATGTGTGAGAGATTAGGAACAGCAACATGCTCATGGCCCAACCCTGGCCTTTTCTGAGGACCCCACCTGAGAGCTCCCTGAGGGACTCACTGCACCCTCTTTGGGCCACAGGACCGATGGTGGGCCCAGGAGAAATGCCTAGCGTGGCTCTGGTTCCCAGCAGCTTCCTCGCCCGAGGTGGGGTAACTATGTGGAATGCTCAGTGGGACAGCAGATTTAGGGGATGGAGGTCTATGGAATCTGAGGCCCGGGCCACATTCCAGCCTGGGTGTCCTGGGAGTTGGTAACCAAATGTAACCAGGATTCACCTGGGCCACCTGCTGCCCCAACCGGATACTCAGATGATCCTATCCGGCTGCCTTGCCCCCAGGGTTGGGGGAGGCTGCCTTCCAGGTCTCTTTGTCTCCTACCACCTCCACCACCCCCCACCCCTACCCCCCCACCCCACCCCACCCCCGCAACAGACACACTTTCCACCCTTGCCACTCCTCCTGGAGTCTTGCTCTGTTCCCCTGCCCAGGCTTCCTGGTTCTGGACCCTAGGAGACTCTCTTAAAAGGAGACCAGAATGGACCCAGCCAGCCACACATAATCACCCCCAGTAAGAAGTCGGACCACAGAGGAAAGGGCACATGCTCTCCCACTGCCTTCACACAGTTCAACCAGCCTGAAAACTCAGCTCCTTCTGCTCACTGGCCCTGGCTTCACAAGTGCCTACTGCCTACAAGAGGGGGCAGGAGGAGGCGGGAAAGGGAGCAGGGAGAGAATCACGGTCAAGTTTAGGGCTAGAAGACCATATCAGTCATATGGCACAATAACTTAACCATTTTGTGGGGTCCTAGTTCCTCTTGAGAATGTAATAACAGTTATGGAACTACAGGAAAATGTGTACACACACAATTTCTTTTTTTTTTTGAGATTTATTTATTTGAGAGAGAGAGAGAGCAGGTGCAAGGGGGGGAGGGGCAGAGGGAGAGCAAGAATCTCAAGTAGACTCCACGCTGAATACGGAGCCCTGATCCCACCACCCAGAGATCATGACCTGAGCCGAAATCAAGAGTCCGATGCTTAACAACTGATCCAGGTGCCCCTGCACACACACAATTTCAAAGTGGAGGCCCTGAGTCACCCACAAGCATCCCTGGGAAGCCCCTAAATTTTTTACTAGCAAGGAAATTGAGGCTCAGAAGGAGGTGGCTTGTTCGGAGTCCACCTTAATTTATGGCACAGCCTGAGGGTGGAAAAATATCAGAGGCTCAGGGTGTCTGGCTGTGACCTGGACCACATGCAACCCCCCGCTGAGCGCACAGACACGAGTAAGCACATGCGCACGCACACGTGCACACACGCACACACACACACACACACACACACGAGGGGCAGGAAGGGGACTGTTTCCAGGGAGAGCTGGCCTCTGAGGGGATTGTGCCGTGTGCAGGCAGGTCCAGTCTGGTTCTGAGCAGCTGGTGCCCCGGGGCATGGGGCTGAGATAAAGCCTCCCCAGCCCCACGGGCCTCGTTCTAGCTGTCTGGCTGCCTTGGACACACTGAAGTCTGGCTGCTAGAGACTGCAGCGTGGGGCGAGGAAGGCCAGCACTGGCCTTTCCGCTCACCTGCCGCAGCAGTGCCTTCCCCAAACCCAAGCCTCACAGCCCCCCAAAGGTGACCTGGGCGGGGAGCACCATGCTGCTCTTTGGGATGGCATGGGCACTGGCTAACGGGTAAGCAGCCCAGCCTGGGGCCCCTCTGACTAAGATCCTCTGCTCCTGCCTCACGAACAGGACCCTCTGGGGCAGCCAGGTGCCCTCCCCTATGCTTCTTGCTCCCAGCCAGCCTCCTCTTCAGTTCACTAACCCTTCCCTGGGAGGGGCTCTTTGGGGAGTGGGACCACAGGACACGGCTTCTTGGCAGTAGAGGGGCTGGTGGCAGTAGCTGTCATTCCCCAGCTGTGGGCAGGCGGTGGTGTGAACATACACGAACCTTCCTGGTGGAGGAGGAAGTGGCCCCCCCGCCAGGAGGACCTGGTGCCCTGCACCAGCCTCTACTATTACCAGCGCCCGGGCTGGCAGCTGGACCTAACCTGGAGTGGACGTGCCGGGCTCTGTCCCATCTACAAGTGAGTGAGGGTCGGCGCCTTGGGTAGCTGCTGAGCAGGAGAGAGGACTGGAGCCAACGTTCTGGGGGGAAGGTGAACTGGGTGGTGTCCTGGAGAAGCAGGCGTTTGGGAAATAGGTCTGGCTGGGTTCAAGAAGAGTCGGGTGTGGCGTTGGGGACAGGCAGCACAGGGAGCAGGCAGTGTGGGGAGAGGTACAATGTCTGCTCCCTGTGCCTCCCCTCCAGTCAGCCTTCCCAACATCATTCTCCCTTTGCACAAGGGGAAATTAAGACCTGGAAGAGATGCGGCGCCTGGGTGGCTCAGTCGGTTAAGCGTCTGCCTTCGGCTCAGGTCACGATCCCAGGGTCCTGGAATCGAGTCCTGCATCGGGCTCCTCGCTCAGCGGGGAGCCTGCTTCTCCCTCTGCCTGCCGCTCCTCCTGCTTGTGCTCTCTCTGACAAATAAATAAATAAAATCTTTAAAAAAAAAAAACCTCCCAAAAATATATTTAAAAAAAAGACTTGGAAGAGAAATTACATGAGAGAGTCACTCAGAGAATAGATGACCAGATTGAATGTCCCAGGCCATTCTCAGAGACAGGGACGGGGCTGCGCTGAACACTAACATCTTCTCCCTGCTGCCCTTTCGGTGGACCCAGGGCCCCAGAAACCCGGCTTGCTGCAAGGAACCGGACAGTGAAGGCTTGCTGCCCAGGCTGGGGGCGGGCAGCCACCGCACCCTGGGTAAGCACCTGCTATTAGCCCAGATCTGTGGTTTCATGGAGGCTTCCCCGGGGAGGGAAGTTGGGTCCAGGCTGACTGTCCGGGTCGCCCCATTCTCTCCCTCCACCTGCCACAGCCCTTGCAGAAGCCAGCCCTGGGGGCCATTGCTTTGCCACTCGGCAGTGCCAGCAGCAGGCCAGCTCAGCTAACGCTTCTGCAGGAAGCCTGGAGGAGTGCTGTGCTTGGCCTTGGGGACAGAGCTGGCGGGAGGGCAGCTCCCAGGCTTGCCTCAGCTGCTCCAGCCGACCCCTCCCAGGTGGGTCTGCAGCCCTGGCCATCACTTTCTCCCCCTGCCCAGGCACTGCCACATAGAATCCTTGAGCTCTGGGCCTTCCTGCAGGGCCCATGCCCATTCCCTTGCGCTCTTGGATGAGTCACCTCCCATCCCTCCCGCCTCCAGAGTGACCATTCACTCTCCACCTGCCTCCTGCTCTGGGGGAAGCCCCACGTCCTCACCCTCCACCCTCCTGCCTTCACACTCAGCGGCTCACAGTCGGTGTATCTCCTCCAGGCAGCACTCCCTCTCCAGCCTTCCTGCAGCCCCTGGCGGGGGCCGTGGCCCAGTTCTGGAGCCAGCGCCAACGGCCCTCGGCCACCTGCGCCACCTGGTCAGGCTTCCACTACCGGACCTTTGATGGGCGCCACTACCACTTCCTGGGCCGCTGCTCTTACCTGCTGGCGGGCACTGCTGATGCCACCTGGGCCATCCACCTCACGCCCAGGGGGCACTGCCCCCAGCCTGGGCACTGTCAGCTGGTGAGGGAGGGAGGTGGGGAAGGACACAGGAAGGGAGCTGCACAGGGGAAGGAGGTGAGCCACTGAACACCTCTTCCACTCTGTCTCCCGCAAGGCCCGAGTAATGATGGGACCCGAGGAGGTTCTGATCCAGGGCAAAAATATCTCTGTGAACGGGAAGCTGGTACCTGATGGGGAGTCTCAGCTGCTCCAGGGTACTGTAGGCAGCAGGGGACTTCCCAGGGCCCCATTTGTTCCTCAGGGACAGCCTGCCTACCCCCGGGGGCAGGGGACAGCAAAAGGGGCAGCTGAGTGGGAGACTGCTGCCCCACCCCCCACTGCAACTGGGGGGTATTTGGAAATGAGGGAGCCTGCTGAGTCCTGGAGGTCATGGACCTAGACTCCAGGTTGACTCCTGCAAGCCACCCCCGCTCGTTCCCTCACAGTGTGGCTTGGGGCCAGTCCCTTACTAACCTCTTTGAGTATCAGGACGCCTGGCTGGCTCAGTTGGTAAAGCAAGGGACTCTTGATCTCAGGGTTGGGAGTTTGAGCCCTTTGGGTGAGGCGATTACTTAAAAACAAAAACTTTGAGGGGTGCCTGGGTGGCTCAGTTGGTTAAGCCTCTGACTCTTGATTTCAGCTCAGGTCATGATCTCGGGGTCATGAGATGGAGCCCGGTGCCCGGGCTTTAAGCTCAGCAGGGAGTCTGCTGGGGATTCTCTTCCTCCCCCTCTCCCTCTGCCCCCCCCCCCGCTTGTGTAATCTCTCTCTCGCTCAGGTAAATAAATCCTTTAATAAAATCTTAAAAAAAAGAAAAACCCACAACAAATCTCTTTCCCCACCTGCCTCTCCGTGGTGGGAGGAAGGGCTTTTGTACTATCAGGTGGGACCCTGTCTTACTAGAGCTTTTTTCCTGGGCTTCGGTCCATGAAGTGAGGTGGGGGTGGGGTTGTGTGTGTGTGTGCTCACAAGAGCTTTGTAGTTTACTTATTTCTTGGAGTTACTTGCTCAAGAGAGCATCTGTAGTGTCCACGAGCTTCTCAAAGAGCGCTCTGATGGGAAAAACCAGTTGCTTCTCCTTTAAAGAGTATGAAGTGTAGAATTCTCTAGAATTGTCAGAATTCCATCTCCTCTCCTTCCCTGAGCAGTCTGCGCCTTGGTGTGATGGTGGGAGGGGTGGGAAGTGTGACTCCTGCCTTCTCCTGCCCAGGGCTGAGCCTGCAGTGGCAAGGGAACTGGCTGGTGCTGTCAGGGGGCCTGGGGGTCACTGTGCGCCTGGACAGGTCCAGTTCGGTCTCCGTTTCTGTGGACTCTGAGCTCCAGGGACAAACTCAAGGTCTCTGTGGAGTCTACAATGGCCAGCCTGAGGGTAAGTGGGCATGACTCGGTTGCTGGTATAGGAGGGAAGGAAAGACTGGAGAGCCCAGACAGGGCACCTCTGCCTCACCCTTCCCCAGATGACTTCCTGGAGCCTGGAGGGAGACTGGCTGTGTTAGCTGCCACCTTTGGGAATTCCTGGAGGCTCCCTGACTCAGAGGTGAGACTACAGCCCCCAGGGAGCCCAGGCTCACTGCCCTGCTCCTGGTTGCTCCCCAGCTCCTCCAAGCCTCTGTTCTCTGTCTTCATCACTGGCCTTTTCCCTGGTACAGGGCCTGGCCCTCTCCCAGACCCTTGGTGGGGGGCAGGCTCAGGATCCCATGGACTTCAAGTGGTGAACTGACCACCCAGGGGACACACTCAGCAACCTGGTCACTGACCAGTTTTGGTTAACTAGCTAGTTATGAAACCTCCTGCCTGTGGGTTGATGTGATCCCAGCTCCCCCACCCCCTACCAGAGCTTACAACTGTGTGGCCCCCCCAAAACCCCAGGTTGTCTGGGCTGGTGGCCATGACAGTGGGGACTTGAAGCAGCCATGAGGGTAGTGGCCACTTTCCTGGTGTCCTGGTTAATGTCCCCCCTCCCCCACTGACCTGAATTCATTTGTCTCCAGCCTGGGTGTCTGGATTCAGTGGAGGCAGCCCAAGGCTGTGAGGACCCCCTGAGCGGCACAGAGGCAGGCACGGAGGCTGAAGCCCAGGATGTGTGCCACCAGCTGCTGGACAGTCCATTCAGGGAATGCCATGCCCAGGTATGGGTGGGGGTGGAGGTGGTATCCACCACCAGGGGGGCGGGAAGGAGTGGGTGCTAGAGAGGTGCCAAACAGGGAATCTGGTCCTGTCGTTGCTTTGAATGAATGATCTCAGAGGTCCCTTCTAGTGCTCATTCTGTTTGATTCTAAGTCAGAGCATGATTGAAGCAAGAGGAGGGAGTGCTGGTGAGGCGGTTGACTGAGGGGCTGTCCTTTCTCTGAAGGTTCCCCCTGCTGAGTACCACCAGGCCTGCCTCTTTGCCTACTGTTCTGGGGCCCCAGCAGGCAGTGGGTGAGAGGCCCGTCGGGAAGCCGGGTGCACCACCTTGGCCAACTATGCCCAGGAGCGTGCCAAGCCCCATATCCATGTGGGCTGGAGGAAGCCAGGCTTCTGCGGTAGGGCTGGTGCCTGTCCCTCTTTGCATAGCCCCTGGTGTCCCCACCCTGCGCAACTGGGACCATTCTGACAGCAGCCCTGTGACCCTGGTTTCCTGAGCGCTGGGCCTCCTCCCACGCGCCCTCTCTTTGGGCTGCAGGCAAGCGGGGTCTGGCGGGAGGAGGGGGACCCTTGGACCTCACAGCCCACTCCCGTGCCCACAGAGCGCCTGCGCCCTGGGGGCCAGCTGTACTCGGACTGCACCTCGGCTTGCCCAGCCAGCTGCTCAGCAGTGGGTGAAGGAGGGGAGGGGTCCTGCCGGGAAGCGTGCGTGTGCCCGCCCGGCCTCTTCTGGAACGGCGCCCTCTGCGTGCCGGCCGCGCGCTGCCCCTGCTACCACCGGCGCCGGTGCCACCCCCCCCCCCCCCCGACACCGTGCGCCAGCTGTGCAACCCCTGGTGGGTCCGCGGGCCTCGCTGGCCCTTTGGCCGCGTGGTCCCCTCGGAGCCCTCCCTTATGCTATCTCCTCAACCTGTCTCCCCTTCCGGGGGGCCCCTCACAAGGGACCTGTGACCTCTCCTGGCATAATTGATGGCCCTGCTTAAAGACCTAGCCAGTGACCTCCACCAGCTGACCTCCAGGCCTTGCAGGGTTACAGGGGTTGCTGGCGGAAGGAGGGCCACGGGGTTGGCTGGGGGCAGGAGGTCGTGGGCTCCGAATCAGAGCGCGCCCCCCGCCCCGTGCGCCCACGGCGTGGGCCAGGACGGCCGCGGGCTCTGCGCGCAGGCGCCGTGCCCAGCCGAGTGCGCGGTGGGCGGGGACGGGCATTACCTCACCTTCGATGGGCGGAGCTTCTCCTTCCGCGGCCGCCCGGTTGCCGCTCCAGCCTGGTGCAGGTGGGTAGGGGGTTAACGCCGGGAGGAGCCCTCAGTGGGGCGCTGTAGGCGAGAGGTATGTTTCTCATCATAAATCAATGAGAAACACACAGTCGTTCCGGGAAAAGCTGAGAGAGAACCGACTCTGGAGGGAGGATGGCTTGCCGCAGACCCCTAAAACCTGCCATTGGGGTCCTCGCCTCCGCCTTAGGTTCCCGTGAATGTTCCCGCCCTAGCCCAGGGCACAAAGCAAAACCCATCCTCACAGTCCTTTCTCACAGATCGGACTGGCTGGGCTTATCACAGGCTATTTCCTGCAAAACAACCCCAGGAGAAAGCTGGGTTCTCCTTCCTCCCCAGCCCTTCCCCAATCAAGTTAGGTGACTTAACCAAGTTCAGGTCCAGAGACACAAACAGATGTGGACATATGCCGCAGATTTAGCACGTGCGTACACAGAAACAGAGAGATGAGCATGCATACCTGCGGGGAGAAGGGAGGGGAGGCATCTTGCACCAACACGCACACACACGTGCATGCACACACACCTCTACATACTTACACACGCATGCCTGTGTGCACACACACATAGAGATACTCATAAGTGCTAGTGCTGGCCAGGGTTAAGCCCTATACCTCACCGAGAGTGTGGCTGGCAAGAAGGTGCTCAGCACGTGCATTGGGTGGGAGCTGCCTCCAGGTGGGTGCTGTAGGTGTCCTGTAGAACAGGAGAGGGTGCAGAACAGACCCTGTTCTCGGGGTCTTCCCCACCTCCACCCTACCACATTCCTCACCATCTGCCCCAGGACTTGAAGGGGCAGCTGCTGATTGTGCTGGAGCATGGGGCCTGTGACACTGGGAACTGCCTCCACGCCATCTCTGTTTCTCTGGGGGACACCCACATCCAGCTCAGAGACTCAGGTAGCCCTCTCCCGCGATGTGCTCCCCGCCAATCCTCATCAGCTCAATCCCGAAGGAGTAGCCCCTCACAGGCCCCCTCTTCCAGGGGCTGTACTCATCGATGGGCAGGACGTGGGCTTGCCGTGGCGTGGGCCTAAGGGCCTCAGTGTCTCCCGAGCCTCCTCCACCTTCCTACTGCTGCGCTGGCCTGGGGCCCAGGTTCTCTGGGGAGTGTCTGACCCCGCAACCTACATCACTCTGGACCCCCGCCATGCCCACCAGGTGTGCTGGGGGGGCAGGTGAGGGGCTGGGCAAGGCCACGGTGGGCCAGGATTTGACTGTCGCATGCCCACTCCTGTGGCCTGGGTGCAGGGTCTGTGTGGCACCTTTCCCTGGAACCAGCGGGATGACTTCCTGACACCTGCTGGCGATGTGGAGACCAGCATTTCAGCCTTTGCTAGCAAGTTCCAGGTGGCAGGCGAGGGAAGCTGCCCCGCAGACGACAGCGCCCCACTTTCCCCCTGCGGCACCCACACTCAGCGCCACATTTTTGCGGAGGCAGCTTGTGCCGTCCTGCACGGCCCCACCTTCCAGGTAGCCGGATTGGGGGTGCTCCTGTTCGCACCTGTAAGTTGGGGTCAACACCTGCTCTGCCCTCGCCCTGGGCTACTGGGAGGGCCCTGCTCCCTGCTGTGGCTGGGCTACCAAGCCCAGGGAGGTGGCAATGAGGACCCGAGGGAATAGGGCAATCTGTGGAGGGGGAGCCAACCCAATTTTTTCCTCCTCTCCCCCCTCAGGAATGCCAAGGGCTGGTGGACAGGGAGCCGTTCCACCTGCGCTGCTTGGCAGCTGTGTGCGACTGTGCTCCTGGCAAGGACTGCCTGTGCCCTGTGCTCGCTGCCTTTGCTCGTCGCTGTGCCCGGGAGGGTGCCTGGTCTCTCTGGAGGACCCACACGCTCTGCCAGTGAGTCGGCTCAGCCAGCCAGCCCCACCCTGAGGCTCCTCCTCCCAGCCCCTTCTAGCAATAGCCCAGAGGGATCCAAAAGCTTTGCCGCAGGGGAAGGTGCCCAGGAGGCCCTCGGACCCTGGCAGGTTGCTGGGCTTGCCTTGTTTCGGAATTCCAGAAGGGCGGGCCAAGCAGCAGCAGTTATGCCCCTGACCTGCATGTGTCTCTGGCCCAGCTGTCCCGTGTCCTGGGGGCCAGGAGTACCAGGAGTGTAGCCCAGCGTGTGGTCGAAGCTGTGGGGAGCCAGAAGACTGTGGGGAGCTGGGCAGCTGTGTGGCTGGTTGTAACTGCCCCCCAGGACTGCTGTGGGACCCCGAGGGCGAGTGCGTGGCCCCCAGCTTGTGCTCCTGCCAGCTTGGAACTCATCGCTATGCCCCTGGCAGTGCCACCATGAAGGACTGCAACCGCTGGTGAGGGCGGTGGCCTTGGGGGGAGGCACAGAGCTTGGGGGTGAAGAGGTGGAACTTAGAGAAAAGAGGCCGGGCTTGTAGCCCTGTGGGTTAGGGCCTGGCATGCACTCGCGGGGCAACAGAGCACTCATGGCTTCGCCTCGTTGTGGAGCACTTCAGGCCTATAAAGCACTCTTGTACATCATCTTATGTAATTCTGTCTCATTCTTACAATGACCTAGTAAAGTAGGAAGTGGAAGAATTGTTCCCATTTTGCAGATGAGGAAACTGAGGTTCTAATAGGCCACACGGCTTGCAGAGTCACACAGCTGTTTAATGATGAAGGACTAGAACCCAGATCTCTGAATTCTGGTTGAGTGTGGTCCAGAGGCTCTTCCAAAGGTTAGGGAGAAGTAAAGGCCAGTTCTGGACCTGTGGAGGCAGGGCCAATGGCCAGGGCTTGGTGGGTGAGGATGAGACTTCAGAGAATCCCTCTCCTACCTGGCTGGGAATGGGGTTCTTTGAGAACCTCAGAGCCCAGAGAATGGCCCCATTGGAGCTGGGGCAGGAAAGGGTGACCATGTCCACCCCACATATGGCTGGTGCGGGGAGCAGCCCCACTTCCTGTGCTTGTAACTGAGGTGTGGGGGGTGAGATGCTCAGGTCTCCAGAGTCAACGTTAGGGGCTTGGACTCCGTGGGTTCCTGAGACTCTCCCAGGTCAGACCAGAGGCGCCTGGGCCTGCCTTGGGCCTGCCTCTTACCTGCCTCCCATTCCTTGGCAGTGTCTGTCAGGAGAGGGGCCTCTGGAATTGCTCTGCTCACCACTGTGGCCCCCAGCAGACATTCTGCCCCCGTGACCTTGTCTATGTCCCTGGTGCCTACCTCCTCACTTGTGACAGCCCTGGTGCCAACCACTCCTGCCCCCCCCGGACAGCACAGGGAGCTGTGTCTGTCCCCCAGGCACCGTGCTGCTGGTAAGTCTGGGAGGGGGCTGCACGGGGCACCGTGGCCCCTACTCCACCCAGGGCGCTGCCCTAGCCCCCCTGGGTGTCTGAAACAGTGAGTGGCGGGTCAGGCAGCCCCCCAAGGTGCCCCTTTGTCCCCGGCCTCTGCCCAGAACGAGCACTGCGTGCCTCCTGAGCTCTGTCCCTGCCGTCACGGAGGGCAGTGGTATCCGCCCAATGCTACCATCCAGGAGGACTGCAACATTTGGTATGCCTAGCCCCTTGAACTGGGATGAGGTGGGATATCCAGACTGGCCTGGGCAAGGGGAGCTCTCCAGGACTGCCCCACGCTCAGGGTCTGCTGCTTGGAACCTGGACAGCTACATCCCCTGGATACAGCTCTGGGTCTTTGTTCTCATGCCTCTCTCTCCCCAACCCCACTCCTCACCCACAGTGTATGTCAGGCTCGGCAGTGGCACTGCACGGGCCACCGGTGCGGCGGATGGTGCCAGGCATCGGGTGCCCCCCACTACGTGACCTTCGATGGGCTGGCTTTCACCTTCCCCGGAGCCTGCGAATATCTGCTGGTTCGAGAGGCCAGCGGCCGGTTCAGCATCTCTGTCCAGAACCTGCCCTGTGGGGCCAGTGGGCTCACCTGCACCAAGGCCCTGACCGTGCAACTACAGAGCACTGTTGTGCACATGCTCAGAGGTGGCCGCAACGTGGAAGGGTGGCACTGCCGGGGGGAGGGGCACGCCGGCGGCATCACACTTCTGCGGGGGGGGGGGGCAAGGCCTGGGGTCCCCCACCGCTCCCCCTTCCTGCAGCGGGGCTGGTGCCTCTCCTCTCTCCTCTTGGCTGGGAATCCTAATTCTGGAAGGCTCCAAGAAATTAAAGCCCAGAGAGGCCTAATGACTTGCCCAAGGGCACGTAGCTGGAGAAGCAAAAGGAAGGTTGGAGGCAGGCTGGGGAGGGGTTCCTGGGGATCTGGGAGCCCTTCGACTCCAAGGCAGAGCCCGAACGCCTCTCTTCCTCCCTAGGCCGGGCAGTGACCGTGAATGATGTGAGCATAACGGACCGCAAGGTCTACACACAGGCCCTGGGCTGAGTCTGCGCCGTGCTGGTCTCTTCCTGCTGCTCACAACCCGCCCGGGCCTCAGCCTGCTCTGGGATGGAGGTCAGGCCCCCACCCCTGACCCATGCCCGCCTTAGCATCATGAGGCTGACTCCCCCCCGCCCCGACTCTTCCTCTTCCATACGAGTGGCGGGAGTTCCCAAATTATGTTTTTAAAATTATGTTTCTCTTCAATGTAAAAGCAATACCTCCTCACCAAAGAAACATTTAGAAAATACACAGTTTGGGAAAGAAGAAATGAAAATAAACCTAACCTCCCACCACCCAAACCCAAGCAGTTGGCATTTTAGAAATAACAGTTACTGAGAAATTGAGGAAAACCAAAGTAACCCCTGGCATGGGAAGGAGTTCTCTGGTCAGCACGGTGGGGCTGCCCTCTGAGCCTCCGGCCACCAAGGTCTCTGGGGCTGGTGGGTGTCACAGTCTGTCTTGGAGCCTGGTTCCCGCCCGGAATCCAGCCGGCTGGAGAATTTCCCTGCTCCCCCTAACCTGGGTTTGGTCGGGAGAGTAGGCTCCCACTTTTGCCCTAGCCCCCCCAAGGTGTATGTCTCTTATCATCGTCAATCAGCCTCCGCAAAAAACCAGGTGGTGGTACCTGTGCAGACGGTCAAACAGGCCCACAGAATACCCGCCCTCGGTCTTCTCCCGCCCCGGGCCCTGAGGAAGGCCCATGGGGTCATTTCTCCACAATGCTGCCCCCTGCGGCCCTCCAGGCACCCGGGTCCTGGTGCAGCTGTCCCCACAGTTCTGTGGCCGTGTGCCTGGGCTGTGTGGAGATTTTGATGGAGATGCCAGTAATGACCTGCGGAGCCGCCAGGGCGTCCTGGAACCCACAGCTGAGCTGGCTGCCCACTCCTGGCACCTGAGTCCGCTCTGCCCCGAGCCAGGAGACCTGCCACACCCCTGCACCGTGAGCACCGGCAGGCAGGGGGAAGGGCGTGGGGGGCCGCTGCAGGAAACCTGTGGGGGGCGGGAGGGGGGATCCGGAGGCCGGGTGCTGCGGATGGGGTCTGGCTGGTCCACGGTGCTGTGCCCACAGGTGAACGCCCACCGGGCCAGCTGGGCCCGCGGCCGCTGCGGGGTGATGCTGCAGTCACTCTTTGCCCGGTGCCGCGCAGAGGTGCCCCCGCAGCAGCACTACGAGTGGTGTGTGTATGACGCGTGCGGGTGAGAGGGGCGAGCCGGGGACAGGGTGGGAATGGGGGCCAGGGGGTGGGGACGCATCCAGGGGCTGACCGATCCCTTCCACAGCTGCGATTCGGGGGGGCGACTGTGAGTGTCTCTGCTCGGCCATTGCCACCTATGCAGACGAGTGTGCCCACCACGGGCTCCCTGTGCGCTGGCGCAGCCAGGAGCTCTGCCATGAGTGTGCCCTGCACTCGGTCCCCAGTGCCCAATCCCACCGTGCCCTCAGCTCCTTCGTGAATGTTCCCCCTGGCCTGCAAGCAAGCCACGTGTCATTCAAGGGCAAATATGTGTGGTGGGCACACTTTTCTAGATGAACCAAGCATGCCGAGCTTGCTTTCCCGTAGAACTTTCATGTTGCAAACAGCCTTGGGAGGGGCTCAGCAAGAGTCTGCACCTTGCTCCCCGTGCCCTCCGTGTGTCTCATCTTGGGCTGCCTCGCCTGCTGCTGTTGCATCCTGGTGCCCTTGCACCACGGTGACCCAAGCCTCTCTCCTCTCTCCCCAGCTCTGCAGTGTGAAGGGGGCCAGGTGTATGAGGCCTGTGGCCCCATGTGGCCCCCGACCTGCCATGACCGTGGTTCTGAGCCCGGGTGGCACTGCCAGGCTGTCGCCTGTGTGGAGGGCTGCTTCTGCCCCGAGGGGACTCTGCTGCATGGTGGGTAGGGTCAGAATCTGCAGAGGGGAGGCAGGGCGCCGGGGTGGGGGGGGTGGGGGGGGGGGGGGGGGGGAGGGAAAAGGGGCCCCGGGGCCATGGGAGCAGGGCTGGCGCTAGGGGCCGCTGTGCCCCTTTTGCTCCAGTCCTGCCCTCTGTGATCCCAGGAGGAGTCTGCTTAGAACCAGCTTCCTGCCCCTGTGAGTCAGGGGGCCGCTTCTTCCCGCCGGGGACTGTGCTGCAGAAGGACTGTGGGAACTGGTGAGTGGGGGAGGGGGGAGGGCCCTGGGGAGCCTCCCTGCCCCCGGGCTGGCAAGGCCCAGTGCTGTGACTGATCCCAGGACGCTGTGCGCTCAGCACAGGCCAGGAAAGCCAGTGGCTCTGCGGGAGCGACAGTACCTGCTGTGGGGAGCTGGAGCCTGGCTGTGCGGAGGGAGAGGCCCCATGCCGGGAGAGTGGGCACCGTGTGCCCCACAGGTGGCTTTGTGACAACCAGGATGACTGTGGTGATGGCTCAGACGAGGAGGGTGAGTGTCCTTGCCTGGCTGGGGCAGTGGCTGAGTGACGGTCAGTCCTCGAACGCATCACTACAACGTGTCCTGAGCTGCTGCTCACAGTGGCAGCAGTTATGGCTGGTGGGCAGGGCTGTTCTGGTCTTTCTGGCGTCGGGGGGCTCCTCTAGGACCCTTTGTCATCCTGACCCTGACTGCTTGCCCCATGCCAGGCTGTGCCACGCCAGGCTGTGGGGAGGGGCAGATGTCTTGCAGCTCCGGCCACTGCCTGCCCCCCGCCCTGCTCTGTGACGGGCATCCCGACGGTCCGGACGCCGCTGACCAGGAGGCCTGTCTGGGTGGGTGGGCTAGCTCAGGACTCCAGTCCCCCAGGCAGCCCCTCCCACTGAGCCCCAACCTTCCTGCCTCCCCTCCTTCACCAGTTCACGTTCCTGCTAGGAAGCTCGCACCCGGAGGTGTGTGAATAGGGGCACCCCAAACAGCCAGCTTAAGGGGCAGTGCCTTGGGACCAGCTCCAGCTTTCTCCGGCTGCAGGGCAGCTGAACTGCTCTGCTGGGGAGCTGTCCTGCATTGATGGCACCTGCGTGGGGGCCGTCCTGCTGTGTGACGGAATCTGGACTGCCCGGATGGAGCCGTCGAGGGACCCGGGCACTGCCCCTTCCCTTCGCTGCCCACTCCCCCAGCGGGCACTGTGCCTGGCCCTTCCGCGGGTTTTGGGGGGACTGCACCAACTCCCCCGGCCAGCGCCAGCTCCGGTGAGTGTCCTGGAGGAAAAGGGGTGAGAGAGCCGGAATCCAGAGGCCTGGGAAAGAGGGGTGGGAAGAGCATCTCAGAGGGAGGCACTGGGGCAGGTGCTGGGGGTGAGGAGCGGGCACAGACCCAGCCTCCTGAAAGGGGTTTGAGAGCGCCTGGAAGAGTCCCGGTCTTACTTCTTGACATCGAGGCGCTCCCACTGACATGAGGGGATTGGGGCGGTCAATGCAATTCCTAGGCGAGGGGCGAGCTTTTGGGAAGCCAATGGGGGGGAGGCGGCGAAATGCGGGCGCGCCTGGACGTGGAGAGGGGCTGGAGGTGGGGGAAGTCGGGCGCAGGAAAGGGGCGGGCAGGGCCGGCGCGGGGAGGCGGGCGGCGGAGGCGGCGGAGGCGGGGGTGGGCCGGGCGAGGCTCCCCCCGCCGGGTCTAGCGCGGGTGCCCGCCGCAGCGCCGCCCTGCGGCCCGCTCGAATTCCCGTGCGGCAGCGGCGAGTGCGCGCCCCGGGGCTGGCGCTGCGACCGCGAGGAGGACTGCGCCGACGGCAGCGACGAGCACGGCTGCGACCCGCCCTGCGTGTCCCCCGCGCAGCTGTGCGACGGCGTGCCGCACTTGCCCCGACGGCTCGGACGAGGGCCCCAACGCCTGCGGTGAGAGCCGGGCCGCCGCGCAGCCGGCGGGGCCCCGTCTCTCCCCACCCCCGGCCCCAGCCGCACGCCTGCGGCCTCGGAGCCTCCTTTGATCTTTTTCACGAAACTCTCTTTGAAGACCTTTGCCCTCCCACCCAGGCCCAGGGGAGAGAAGAAAGGGGCTTTTGTCTCTGCCCACATTTGGGCAAGAAGGGATAAGAGAGTGGGCAGCGGCTCTGCAGGCACGGGAAGTGGGCCTGTTTGGGAGGGCTAGCCCTCCAGCTCCACCCCACCAGACCCGGGCATTCCCTTCGTGCCCCTGCGAAGCAACTCCTCCTGTCCCGGCCACCGGTCCCTGGGAGGAGGGGGCAGCTGTCCACAGGCTCCGACTCCTCCCCAGGTCTGCCTGCCCTTCCTGGACCCCTCCCAAAGGTGTTTTGGAGCTAGGTTCAGGTTCAGTGTTGGCTCTGCCTCCTGCTTGCCCTCCCCTGCTTTGGTTCCTCCCTGCCGGCCCCTCTGCAGAGATTGGGTGGGAGGCGCAGGGGCTCAACGGGACACTCCTCTGGTGCCCACAAGCTCCCCCCCCCAGCTGTCCCCTGTGGTTTGGTTCCCCAGCTGTGCCTGAACCCTTAGCAGCTCTGTGATGGGATCGCTGACTGTTCCCAGGGCGAGGATGAGCTGGGCTGTGGGAGGGACACTGCTCCCCTGATGGAGACCAAGGCTGCTGGTGGGGGGTGGGGGTGGGGGGCAGTTCTCACTCCTGGTCTGTTTTCTCTTCCCTTCCCCAGAGGGAATGACAGCCCCAGGAGGCCCCAACGGAACCAGGGCTCCCTGCCGGGAATACTCCTGCCCTGATGGCCCCTGCATCAGTTTCCAGCTGGTGAGGGGGTGGGGTGGGGGAGTGGGTGACTCAGGAAACAGAGCCATTGTGCCACCCAACTCGAAAGGAACCTTGCTCCCGTTCCCTCCCCAGGTTTGTGATGGGCAGCCTGACTGTGATTTGGCCGGGGAGCTAGGGCCTTCCCCAGAAGAGCAGGGCTGTGGGGCCTGGGGCACCTGGAACTCATGGGGGCCATGCAGCCAGATGTGTGGTCCTGGGGTGCAGGGCCGGAGCCGCCACTGCTCCCCCCCCCGCCCCCGGGTCTCCTGGTGCTGCAGCACTGCCCAGGCCCTGAGCACCAGACTCAGGCCTGCTTCACGGCCGCCTGCCCAGGTGAGGGGCCTGGGGTGCCTGGGAGGGCCAGCGGGGCAGGTGGGGGCCCAGAGAGAGCAAGGGAGAGGAAGACCACAGGGCTCACAGCCTGGCCTCAAGCCCACCAACGCGTCCTGCCCCTCCTGCTCACAGTGGATGGCGAATGGACCTCCTGGTCTCCCTGGTCCCTGTGCACTGAGCCATGCATGGGCACCATGACCTGTCAGCGACAGTGCCACCCTCCCCAGAATGGGGGCCGGACCTGTGCCATGCTGCCCGGGGGCCCTCCCACCACCTTTCAGACCAGTGAGTGCCAGGAAGGGGGGGCACAGCTGGGAGGAGGGTGTGGTGGGCTTGCTGGTGGGTGGCTTGTGTCCGCAGGGGACCCACCTTTCCCAGACTCTGGTTCTGATTTTCTCTCAGGGCCCTGCCCTCAGGATGGCTGCCCTAATGCCACCTGCTCTGGGCAGTTGGTGTTCTGGCCCTGTGCCCCCTGCCCTCTGACTTGTGCTGAAATCTCTGGTCAGGCTGTGTGCGTGGCTAACCAGACCTGCAGCAGCCCAGGTAAGGGGGGCTCTGGGCCCAGGGGGTGGCAGGCGTGTCTGTGGAGGTGGAGCTCTCTGCAGGGAAGCCTCACCCCGGGCCTCCCCTAGGCTGCTGGTGCCCTGCAGGCCAGGTGCTGGGCAGCGAGGGGCGGTGCGTGTGGCCCCGGCAGTGCCCCTGCCTGCTGGATAACAAGCGGTACTGGCCTGGGCAGCGCATCGAGGCCGACTGCCAGCTCTGCACCTGCCAAGACGGGCGGCCTCAGCGCTGTCGGCCCGACCCTGGCTGTGCCGGTGAGGCCCCGCCCTTGGCCTTTCCTCAGGCCTCCCTCGTCCCCTCCCAGGCCACCCAGCTGGGCACCCAGCCCTCTCCCAGCCCCTGACTCTTGGCCCTCCCTCAGTGAACTGTGGCTGGTCCTCCTGGTCCCCCTGGGCTGAGTGCTTGGGCCCCTGTGGGAGCCAGAACATTCAGTGGTCCTTCCGGAACCCCAACAACCCCCACCTCTCCGGCCAAGGTCGCCAGTGCCGAGGCATCCACCGCAAGGCCCGCAGGTACTTGCACCTTCCCCGGGGACCCGCAGGGACCTTTTCCCCTCGCCTCTGGCTCCCAGTTAGGAAGCTGCTGGTGAGCTCTTTCTCATTCGAGATGCTTCCATATGCACCGTGGACCCCAGATGAGGAACCCCCCCCCGACTCTGAGCCTTATTAGTCTAAACACCAGGACTCCCAGCACAGTTTTGGGGAACCCCTGGCCTTCTCCTGCATCAATGTTACACCCTCCAAGTCTGAAAGGGGGATGTAGGGAGCCCACAAATCTAGGGACAGGTATGGGTCCTCTGGTTTGCACCCCCATGCCTCTGAAGGTAGGGGGGGTCGGTGGGGGGGAGGGTTGCGGGGTGTAGTCATATCTGCCTGTCCATCCTCCTCTGAAATGGGCTCCATGGGCCAGGGTTGTGGCACCGCTTGCTTCCACACCCCTCTCTGGGGCTAGTTGCAGTTTCTCGGGTGCAGGGGTGGGATCTGGGTGATAGGAAGCCCGAGCATCCCAGTCGGCTCAGGACCATGCCAGTTTTATCACGGGGAAGTCCTGGGAAGCCACTCACTCGAGGCAAATCAGGACAGGTTGGTGGCCTGGGTGAGCCCGCTGGGCAGGCATGCGGTGGCCCTTCTTCCAGGTGCCGGACAGAGGCCTGTGCGGGCTGTGAGTGGCAGGGCCGGCTCCGCGGCGTGGGGGAGCGCTGGCGAGAGGGCCCCTGCACACTCTGCCAGTGTCTGCCCAGCGGCACCGTGCGCTGCTCCCCGTACTGCCCACTGGGCAGTTGCCCCCAGGTGAGGGGGCAGAGGGGCCTGGGCTGGGCTGGGGGAGGCGCAGGGTGCAAAGGCCAGGGTTGCCGGCAGCTGATAGACTGGGTCGGAGGTTGGCAGTGGCCAGCTCGGCATGTCCAGCCTGACTCTTGTGTCCACAGGACTGGGTCCTGGTGGAGGCAATGGGAGGTTCATGTTGCCGCTGCGCCCCGCCTGGTGAGTGGCAGGGTGACCCCAAGGGCAGGAGGACAGCAGGTGCTCAGCGGGAGCCCCAGGTGGCAGCACTGAGTCCGGGGGTCCGTGGCTACCCAGGCCTCAGGGTGCTGGGAGCCTGGGTCCTGGATGCTGGGGAAGGAAGGGGCCCTCTGGGTGGGAGGACTGGTCTCTGCCCTCCTGAGGTCAGGTCTCAGTCTCTGCCTGCCTCCTCTGTCCTTTTGGGGCTTTCTGCCTCCCGCCTTGAGGGTGCTTTCTTTTCTCTGATTCTACTGGGCCAGGTCTGGGGTTGCTTCCCTTTCCCCTAAGAGCAACTGAGACAAAGTTGAACTTTTTATTTTTATTTTTTTTCAAGACTTTATTTATTTGCCAGAGAGAGACACAGCAAGAGAGGGAACAAGCAGGGGGAGTGGCAGAGGGAGAAGCAGGCTTCCCGCCGAGCAGGGAGCCCCATGTGGGGCTCGATCCCAGGACCCTGGGATCATGACCTGAGCCAAAGGCAGGCGCTTAACGACTGAGCCACCCAGGCGCCCAAAGTTGAACTTTTTATTTTATTTTATTTTATTTTATTTTTTTTAAAGATTTTATTTATTTATTTAGAGAGAAAGAATAAGACAGAGAGAGAGCATGAGACGGGGAGGGTCAGAGGGAGAAGCAGACTCCCTGCTGAACAGGGAGCCTGATGTGGGACTCGATCCCGGGACTCCAGGATCATGACCTGAGCTGAAGGCAGTCACTTAACCAACTGAGCCACCCAGGCGCCCCAAAGTTGAACTTTTTAAAGAGGAAACCGAGTTATAAATGAAATAGCAAGGGGCACCTGGGTGGCTCAGTTGGTTGAGCATCTGCCTCCGGCTCAGGTCATGATCCCAGGGTTCTGGCCCCTGCTCAGCGGGGAGCCTGCTTCTCCCTCTCCTCCCCACTCATGCTCTCTGTCGGTATCTCTATCTCTGGCAAATAAATAAATAAAATCTTTAAAAGAATAGAAATAAGTAAATGAAACAGGAAAATACAAAGACTTGAAAACTAATGCGTTTATGGGTCCGGATTCCTTATCTGTAAAGTGTACCTACAGGCAGCTGAGGTTAGAGGAGAGCCAGCGTACACAGTTGTACCGGTTGTTCACTGTACAAGTTAGTTGGCAAGTGGGAGTTAGATCCCAACCCTGCTTCCATCCAGAGATACCCTCATATAGCGCCCACAGAAGTCCCCTATTAGCAACAGTAGCCCTGGATTAGGAACTGCCGCTGCTTGGTCCTGGTCCTCAAGTGATTTCAGACTGGCGGTTTTATTCTACGTTCTCTAAATATTCAGTGCAAGTGGAAACCATCAGCTCATGCCAAGGGAAGGAGGACAGGCCTTTTCCAGCTGGGAGGTTGTTCTGGGGGCTTCCGGGAAGTCCTGGGAGAGAAAGTGCTCCAAGAAGTGGGGAGAGACCTGGGTGCCGGGCCAGGGGTCAGTGTGAGCCTATCTGCAAGTCTCTCTCTCCTGAACCCTGAGTTTCCCTACACAGGAGAGAACCAGATGGTCCACCCCCTGGCCACTCCTGCCCCCTCTCCAGCCTTCAGTGCCCAGATCGGACCCCCTCTGGTCACCTACGTTCTGCCTCCACCTGGAGGTGAGGGCCATGAGCTGTCATGGAACAGAGAGTGGACATTGCCCAGGGGTCACCCAGCCAGGAGGGGAGGCAGGCTGGCTCACTGGGATTTACCCCCGCCTTCCATGGGGGGACAGTTACCCTAAGGATCTGGAAGTCATCCTGGCTCAAGTTGCTGGTCTGACTGTCCTCTCTGGACCACCCTTCCATCCCGGGTCAAGGTCAACATGGGGCCCTTGGCATGCCTCAGCTCCCCTTGTGACCTCCTGACTGTTCCCCTGGTAGGCTTCTGCCACCGTCTGCTCTTCTCCCACTCCAGTCCCTCTCTCCTCTGCACTCAGACCCCTGCTATTCCCCGCTGGACCTGGCCCGCCTCCCCGAGGGAAGCCTGAAGCTGGAGCCCCGCACCCAGGCTGCCCTCCTGGGGGCTCCCACCAAGGGGCCTGGCTATCCGGGTTGGAGCACTCAGCGGCACACCCGGCCCCCCTACCTGCTGTTGGACCTGCTGCTGCCCCGGAACCTCACTGGTCAGTGCAGTGGGGGTGGGGGCTGGAGGACTGGGCTGTGATGGTGGGCTGGGGGTGGCGCTCACTCTTTCAGCTCGGACCCCTGCCCCACCCCCCCAGGCATCATGGTGCAGGGGGCTGGGTCCTCGGCCTTGCTCCAGTTCAGCAGCGATGGTCTACACTGGCACAGCTATACTGACTTCCTGCCTGGTATCCTGCCCCCAGCCGAGGTACGGCTGCCCGAGCCTCCTGGGTCAGTGGCCCATCATGCCTCTTTGTGGGTCCCACCGTCTTTGTCCCCGAGCGCCTTCCAGTCTCCCCGAGGGACATTCCTACCTTAGAGGCCTGTTGAACACCTGTCAGGAACAGGGGCTGTCAAAAGGGCATCAGAGGCTATCACAGTGGCTGAGGTGCAGGGCAGGTGTGCAAAGCTCTGGGGGGGGAGGGAGTAAGGTGACATCAAGTTCATTGAGGATGGCAGGGACCACGTCAAGAGCAGCTGGGGCACAGCCCTGCCCTTATGGGGTTTGTATCCTTCCCAGGGAGACAAGCCTCCCGAAGCAGGAGGAGCCTCCCGAAGCAGGAGGAGCCTCCCGAAGCAGGAGGAACCAGTTTATACCATGTATTTACTCTGAATTCTGTCTCTGGGGATACATGAATGGGCACAACCTGGCCTCTGCCCTTGGGGCAGCAGGGCCAGAACCCACAGCCTTGAGGGGTTCTGATGATTCACGCCAGGAGAGCAAGAGCTCTTCGTGCCTTGAAGTTTGGGGGGCTTGAATTGGGTGGGCCCACTCAGCGGGGTCAGGGGAGGCAGCCTGGAGAAAAGGCTGGCCCCGGGCCCAGTGAACAGGTATCCCTGTCTCTGCAGCTTTTCCCTAGGAACCGGGATGACGGGGCCCCCACACTGCAGACGTTTGGCCAGATGGTGCAGGCACAGCATGTCCGGGTGTGGCCCCAGGTCCGCCATGGTGACACCAACCACAGCATTTCCCTGCAGGTGGAGCTGCTGGGCTGTGAGCCAGGTACCGGTGGGCTGGGGGAGGGAGGGGCGGGCGCAGGGGGAGGGCCCGACGGGAGCCCTCAGCCATCCCCTCCCACCAGTGTCCCCGCTGGCAGTGCCCCCGTGCCCAGGGGGCAGGCACCGCTGTGCCGGTGGCGAGTGTGCTCCGCGGGGGGAGCCGTGCGACGGGGTGCAAGACTGTGAGGACGGCTCGGACGAGGAGGGCGGCGTGCCCCTGCGCGTGGCCACTGACAGGTATGGGGTGCCCTGCTGCCCAGCTTCGCCTTGGAGGGCCCGGCCTGTGAGAGATGCCTTGAGCCACCTTCAGCCCTGAGGTGCCCGTGGCTGGAGGCGCCTCCCACCATGGGATGCTCGGATGCGATGCCCTTTTTCTAGAGTCTGGAGGTTAGTGGTTCTGAAAATGTGGCCCCTGGACCAGCAGCATCAGCATCCCCTGGATGTTGTGAGCAAATGCAGATTCTCAGGCCCCAGCTCAGACCTACTGAGACAGACCCTTGAGCCTGTAACAGAAATCTGCTTTACAAGCCCTCCAGGGGGGTCAGTACACTGAAAACCACTGGGTAGTGTCCACTTCATCTAGTCTTAGCGGACAGTGCCCTTCCAGAGTGCCCCAGCCCTGCCCTGTGCTGGGCCCACCCAGGGAGGGCACTGACCGCCCTGCCGGGGGCGGGGGGGGGCGTGCTCTGAGGTTGGGAGAGCCCCTGGAGTCCTTGACAATTTGTCTTCTCAGAGTCTGGTCCACAGCCAGGACCCCAGTGCTCTCGTCCACCCAGCCTGGACAGCTGCTCCTCCAGCCCACAGAGGTGAGTGGGGAGCTGCAGGCCCAGCAGGAGGGGTGCAGGGCATGGAGAACCCCGGCCCCAGGGCCTCAGCAGCCATGTTCGCTTGCCCCGCCGTCTTCCACCCTCTCTTCACGCCTTCAGCCAGCATTGCCTCCCTGTGTGTCCCTGATCGGCTCTTGTAGTCTGCCTGAGCCCATGAGACTTCTGGGGGCCAGCCCGGTACTGGATGGGCAGTTGGAGGCCAGAGGGGCAGAGAAGCCCCGGGCAGATGCTTGTGCTGGAGGAGTTTGGGAGATCAGAGAGGTCTTCACCACTGGGTCGTGAAGTTATGCCCACAGGGCTGGCACCAGGGCCTCAGGCGCTCAGAGCTGGGAAGAGCCCTGTTTGTCCCTAGGGGCCCCAGAGGCTTCCTGGAAAAGGCTAGAAAGATGAGGGAGTTCTGTAATGTGGAGCGGAGGGGTAGACACTCCCTCTGGAGAAGAGCCTGGTCAGGAACCCAGAGGGGAGAGTGATCATAGCGCCGAGGCCCACATGTGTGGGTGCCGGGGGAAGACGGGTTTTGGGGGGCAGGAGCTGAAGCAGAATCCTAGGCGAGGCGGTGAGAAGAGCCCCTGAGCTCCCAGTACCTGGGGTGTCCTGCCCGGAGGTGTGCAGAGCAGTGGGGCTGCACTCCCCAGCTCTACCCTGCACTTTGAGGACAGGGGAGGGGCCGTGGGACCGAGGCACATCTCAGTGGGAATGAGAGGTGGGTGCCTAGTCGCCAGGCAGCACTGCCCTTGGGGCCCAGGCTGAGCCCTCTCCCTCCATAGGCTCTGGCAGAGGCCGAACGCTGGCATCCCTCGCGAGGGTCACCCATACCCCCCACAGGTATGTGCACAAACTCCACGCCCCTCGTCCCCAGCGCGCAGGGCGAGGGACAATTACATCTCAGCGGTCAGTCTCCTGCTGACCCCTGACATCCCTCAGTGGAGCAGGGTGACCTCCAGGAGGAAGACCTGGTCATCATGGCCTCCTTGGCCAAATCCTGCCCCCGCTCACCCTCCTGGATTCCAGGGTCGGATGCTCCAGGCTGGCTCCCAGGGCCAAGCCTGGGCCCCGCAGTATGGCTGCCTTCCCCAGGTCCCTGGCCGGGACAGGTCTCCCTGGGGCTGTGGAACACTGCCTGGCCCCACCTGCGCTCCCTCCGCTCACCCATGAATGCAGCCAGGCACCCCTTTTGGAAGGGCTTGCTGGCAGCAAATGACAGGGAGGATGGGGTCACCAAGTTAGCAAGATCCTAAACTGGACGAGGAAGGAGCTCCACACGGCTGCCTGATCTGTCACCTGCACGTTAGCCCGAGGAGAGCTGTCCCAGAGCGAGGTGGGGAAGGGGTGGGCTGTTCTTTTGTAAAAAGCAGATGAAGCAACTTGTATCGTCACTAGAGTCCATAACACACAGACTGTGGGATGAATTCTAATGTCATTCTAAATCTGCTTCTAGAAAAACGGCTATCTTTTAACATTCATCTCTTGTTGGCAAAGAAGCGTCTCAAACCCCTTTTCACTGTAGCTGCCAGGAAGTTGTCGGGTGCGGGGCCTTAAACACAGTACTGTCCCTTTGACTTGGAAGCTGCCCCGAGTGTCTATCTCAGCTCCAAACTAAGCCCTTTTCTACTTTCATGTAAAACCCTCTTGTGCTCCTTGGACTGCAGAATCCCCCTTCATCTGTGGTCTGAAGCCCCTCGGAAGGTGGGTATGGTCTGTCCTCACCCTGCACCACCCAGAGCCTGGATGCCCTTCCGAGAGCCTGTGTCTGCTTCATCTCTTGGGAGGGGAGCTTGTGGGCCTCACCCCTCTCCCTCCCGCACCCGCAGGGAAGGGACCAGCGACTCAGGCCCTAGCCTCCGAGCCTCCTCACTTGAGTCCTGGGGAATCTGTGCAGACCATGACCACCACCCCCATATCCCAGGTGACCCCAGTGGCCCCTGCTGGTAAGATTCCGTGGTCTTCTGCCTGCTAAGTCCATGCATCCCAACAACGTCCCTGTTGGAGAAACAGAGGCCCCAGGGGGTTAGCCACTTGGCTCAAGATCACATAGCTTGAGGTCAGGGTTGTAGAAGGACCTAGGACCACACCTCCTGAGGCAGCTCATGACTTTTCCCATGGTCCCAAGAGAGGCAGGAAGTGGGGGCACACCAGTCAGGAGGAGGGAGGTTGGGGGCCGAGGGAGGGAGGACACCGTGGGCAGGTGTCCCCTCAGCTGGCTGTGGTGGTACCCACAGTCCAGAGCGTCGCCCCGGAGCCCTTCCCCCCTGCAAGGTGCAGCCCAGGCCAGGTGCCCTGTGAGGTGCTGGGCTGTGTGGAGCAGGGGCAGCTGTGTGATGGGAGGGAGGGCTGTCTGGACGGCTCCGGCGAGAGGCACTGGGGTAAGCAGGGGTCCCTCAGGGCACCCTGGACGGTTTGAAGTCATGTGGGTGGCAGTGGCCAGAGGGCTTTAGGTTTGGGGAAGTCTCCGCCCCCTAGTCCTACCTCATCTGGGAAGGAACTGTGGGAGGCTGGGGGTGGCAGAGAGTGAAAAGAAACTGAGTGGGTAAAACAGCCAGGAATGTGTGTGTCTTTGGGGATCGTCAAAGGGGCAGATGGGACCGATCTCAGGTCCTAGCCTGTTTCACAAACCCTGTCTGATCTTTGAGTGGATTCCTCTAACCATCCATTAATCCATCCATCTACCCATCCATACATCCACCCACCCTCCATTCACCCATCCCTCCACCAGCCAGCCTTCCAGCGTTCATTCAGCCACCCCATCCCTCATTCCTCATCCATCCATCCATCCATCCATCCATCCATCGAAAGTAGATTACTATGCTCCAAGCCTAGTCTCTCAATCAGGGAAGGGGCACCCCTGGGAGCACCCATTCAAGAAGAGGGTATCCTAGGGAAGGAACTGTTCTAGACAGTTTGCTCTCTCTCTGGACACCCAGAGCCCTTAGCAAGCAGAGAGACTGTGTGAGAGCCTGTGGCGAGCACAGACCCCCGGGGCTCACCCACACAGAGTAGAGAAAAGGCTGCCCGGGGTGTGGGAAGCTTCAGGAGAAAGGAGGCAGGACCTCTGGTCAACAAGCTGCTCTGCTCTCGGCCTGAGGTTGAAGGGGCTCAGTTTATCTTCGGGTCAGGAATCACTTCGTGGCTCTCTTCCCCCGACCTCGCGGGCAGCGAGCCCTGTGCCCTTCATGGTGCCCACCACGGCCCTGCCCGGGCTGCCTGCCTCGCGAGCCCTCTGCTCCCCGAGCCAGCTGAGCTGTGGTAGTGGGGAGTGCCTGCCGGCTGGGCGGCGCTGCGACCCCGCGGCCCGACTGCCAGGACGGCTCTGATGAGCACAGCTGTGGTGCATGCCTGGCCAGGGGACACCTCCGATGGCCCCGCTCCCGCGTGAGCCCTCTCTGAGTGCCGCCTCTCCGTCCCCCTGCAGCGGACTGTGGGCTGACGCCCTGGTCTGGCTGGAGCCTCTGCAGCCGCACCTGTGGGCCGGGCCACGCCTTCCAGCGCCGGGACCTGCTGTGGCCCCCCCTGCCTGGGGGCAACTGCCCATCTGACAGGCTCCGCAGCCCGCCCTGCTTCGTGCAGGCCTGGCCAGGTAACCGGCACCCAGGCCTCCTCAGGACCCCCGGGTGGGAACACCCACCATGGGCTCCCATCCAAGACCCACACCAGGGGGATGCCCTTGCTCTTCTGGGGACCCCAGGGTCCAGGCTCCTCTCTGGGACTCTAGGAGACCGCCCCCTTCTGATGTCCAAGCCTTGTGCATCCAGAAGGCTAATCGGGAAGCCTGACCCTGGCCCTTTTCCCTTTTGCTGCCTGAGTGGTTCTGGACGGGTCCCTAACCTCGGGTGTGGGACTAGAGCAGCAGAGCGGGTCCCACTTCAGAGTGAGGGTGTTAATAAGCTGTGCCCAAGACCTGTAGCCCTTCTGTCCTGTAGATGCGAGGGAGTAGTCCCCACCTTGCCTCTGCATTGCAGAGAGGGGCTTCCTGCACCACCCCCGGCCTCCTAACCTGGTTTCTGTCTGCTGCCACCAGGAGGCGCCCTGCTCCAGGAGTCCCACTGTCCCAGCCCTTTCCGAGGGACCAGAGCCTTTATCCTGGGAGGCACCTAGAGCTCTTTGCTCAGGTCCACCCACCTAGGGGAGGTTTCCTGGGACAGGACTGGAAGCTCACCCGTCACCACGGGAGTCCCCGCGGTGCTGCCCTAGGCCACGTAGCTGGCCACTGGTCCAGGCTCCTCTCTGCTCTGCTGCCTTGCTCTCTCCGGCACAGTCTGCGTGTCTTTGGGCTGGTCTGGTCCACCTCCATTCTTTCTTCCCTCACAGTGGCTGGGGCGTGGGCTGTGTGGGGGGCCTGGGGGCCCTGCAGCGTCTCCTGTGGCAGTGGCCATCGGAGTCGCCACAGGAGCTGTGTGGACCCCCCGCCCAAGAATGGTGGTGCTCCCTGCCCCGGGGCCTCCCACGAGGGGGCACCGTGTGCCCTGCAGCCCTGCACAGGGGGCACAGGTAAGGGAGCTGGGCTGGGTGGAGGCATCCAAGGGTGGAGCCCTGCAGGGGTGGGGCTGTTGGGGAAGGTCACCGGGCCTCCTGTACCCACCCCACCTAGTGTCCATCTCCCACCAGACTGCGGGCCGGGCCGTGTGCATATTAGTGCTGAGCTGTGCCCGAAGGGGCTGGTGCCCCCGTGTCCGCCCTCCTGCTTGGATCCTGAGGCCAACAGAAGCTGCAGCGGGCACTGTCTGGAGGGTGAGGCACACCCAGCAAGCAGGAGGGCGGCGGGCAGAGCCCTCGGGGGGAGTGTGGGGTGCTCGCCGGCCCTCAGTCCCCAGCCTCCCCTCCCCACTGCCCCCTACTTAGGGCTGAGGGCCCTCCTGCCTACACCCCAGGATGCCGCTGCCCCCCTGGGCTCCTCCTCCATTATGCTCACTGCCTGCCCCTCTCTGAGTGCCCTTGCCTCGTGGGTGAAGAGCTGAAGCAGCCGGGGGTGCCCTTCCTCCTGGACAACTGCAGCCGCTGGTGAGGGTGTCTGCTCTGGTGGGGAGGACCTGGGTCAGGGGACCAGCCAGTCCTGACCTCTTCTGCCTCCCCCTCCCCCGCAGCCTGTGTGAGAAGGGGGCCCTGCTGTGCGAACCAGGGGGCTGCCCCGTGCCCTGTGGCTGGTCAGCCTGGTCCTCCTGGGGTCCCTGTGACCGCTCCTGTGGCTCTGGAGTGAGGGCCAGGTTCAGGTGTGCAGGATGGAGCCATTGGCGGGGGGTGGGGAGGGGAAGGTGTGCAGGATGGAGCCATGGGGGGGAGGGGAAGG